AAGCAGCTGTAGAAGTACGAGAAACTGGCAGTGGTTTAGTTCAAGCACATTAAAATTTACCAAAAATAGGTACTTAAAATATTTTAAAGGATTTTAGTAGCGTTCAAAAATATTTGTTTGGCTTAATATGTCAAGTAATTTCTAGTGGCCATTGTTTCAAATCGAAAACTGAAAACTTATTCTCAGTGCACCCATGGGTCTCAACCGCATTGTTTTCCTTTTTATTTCAAGTGAAAATCCGTCTCGAAGCTTGACCAAGCTGACCGAATTATAATATTATAAACATTAAGCTCCAATATCTTTTTTTAACATGATTATATATACAGTGTGTATTAAAACGAATAGATACACTTAAATAAAACAAGTGCCAAAACCCGCCCACTGTGGTAGGGATTGAATTTATTTACTTGCCGTATCATTGGGCCATTTATTATTGATGGTAATCTTAATGGGCAAAAATTTGCCAATTCCGTTTGAAACCATACGGTTTCAGCAAGACGGGTGTCCTGCACATGATACTTTGGTTATCAGAGAGTATTTAAATGACAACTTTCCAAATCACGGGGTAGGTCATCATGGAGATATTCGTTGGCCTCCAAGATCACCGGATTTGACTCCGTGTGATTTTTTCTTGTGGGGATACGTCAAGTCGAAATTTATGGATTTCAAGAGCTCAGGGCTAATAATCTCGATGAATTAAGGGTGCAAATCTTTAATACATTGGGAGATATTAGTCCTGAAATGCTGTTTAACGTGCGCAGGAATTTTTATGATAGGCTAGGGTATTGTTTAACTGCTGCTGGTGGTCTATTTGAACATTTAATTTAGAAAAAAGTTATTTTCATTATTTTTGTTTGAGAATTTATAGGTTTTGTTTTAATGCATGTCTGCAAATAAAAACTAAGTATTATTTAAAATCCATTAAATTCCAGTTAATGGAGAAAATGTATTTCTTAAAAACTCTACACATTTCCCTACGACAGCGTCGGAGCTACCATATGACAAATATACTGAACAAACAAACTGCATGCCCTTGTATGGCTGCATGCCGCGCTGTTGCCATATGCTATTATTGTTTCCTAAAAGGGTTGTTTTTCTAATTTTTTAATATTAAAAGTAAAAAAATTAACTAAATCAAATTATTTTTAACATATTATTAATTTATTTGTTATTTTTAAAGTTTTAAATAAATAAAATTGAACTATTTATTAAATAATTATAATCGTTCTCTTCTGATTTAAAACAACCTGGCAACTATGGTTCGTAATTACGAATGGCTTGGTTTAAACCACGCCCAATTAAAGTTTGTTTCTTTTTCTCTGATCAGAATATAATTTGTCATCCTTGTCTCCAGCCTTACTTACTTGATTCTATACAGTCTGTTTATTTATTTATCAAAAAAATCGGATATTTTTTTTTCTTCAAAGCCCGCATTGAAATATCTTCCTAGTAGTGAAAAAAGAAGCCTGTGAAAATTGTAGCTCTTAATATTAATATTTAGAGGTCGCTCATCGTGAATTTCTATTTTACGTTTAAATAACACAGGAATTCTTTTTTCTTAACTTTGAAATTTCATAACTCGTTTTTGAGTGAACATATTGGAATAAGCGACACATATTTTTAAAGAAAATTAAACGCTCTACAAAAAATGTCCATTATGATTTTTTCATAAATTCATTTCTTAGTTATTCAAGGTTGAAATTAGACATATAATAAATTTAACGTTTTTTTTTTCAATTGGTGGCATAATAATAAACCTTATCACTCATTATTGTACAGGATGGTCCAGTTTGTAATACATTAATTTTAATAGGTGATAAAGCATCAAAAATAAGGTAGACTTTCATAAAAAAACATTTCTTAAAAAAAATAGTTTTTTCTTCATAACTTTTAAACCACAAAATTAATTTGGCACACAATGTAATATAGTCAGTGCCTTAATAATAATGTAGATAATCAGTGCCGCAGTTACTTGGGGGGCTGCTCCCCTTTTCACCTCAGTCTTTGACGCCACTGGAAATTTTAAAATAATAAATAAATGTTTAGGTCAAGTTTTTAATTAATGGAAAAGTGTTTCCTCGCAAAATTACATTTTTAGATTGTCTGTTCAATTTAGAGAAAAAAAAACTACTGTGCTAAAATTTTAATTTAGGGCTTCGATTTTGAAATATTTGGGAACACACTCCAAAAAAACTACGGAAAAAGTATTCTTGGATAAATAAATTAATTATTTAAAAAATGAAGCACTAAATCAAAATTTTACATGAGTAGTTTTTTTCTCTAAATTAAACAGATAATCTAAAAATGTGTTTATTATTAAAAAAAAATCCAGTGGCGCCTAAGGTGAAAAGAGGAGCAGACCCCCAAGTAACTGCGCAACTGGTGTTTTTTTAAATAATTATCCACATCATTACTAAGACATCGACTATATTGTGTACAAAATTTCTTAAAAATTGATTAAGTGGTTTAGAAGTTCTGATGGGGAAACGAGTTTTTTTTATAAACTTTGACGGAAAGCGTCTCTGCGAGGAACCATTTTTGAGCAAATATTTCAGAAACAAAGACCCAAATCAAAATTTTACAGGGGTAAATTATTTCTCTAAATTAAAAACTTGACCTACAAATTTATTTAATATTTTAAAATTTTTAGTGGCGTCAAAGACTGAGGTGAAAAGGGGAGAAGTCCCCCCACATTATTATTAAGGCACTGACTATATTACATTTTGTGCTAAATCTGATAAAAATTAATGTTGTGGTTTAAAAGTTATAAAGAGAAAACTAGTTTTTTTGTAATCTTTGACGACCTGTATTTTACTTAGGAAACATTTTTGAGAAATGTTAATTAATGAAAGTCTACCTTAAAATAAATTATGTTTCTTTAAAAAAAATTATCGCTCGTTCCAATATGTCCACTCAAAAAAAAAGTTATAAAATTAAAAGTTAAAAAAAATTCCTGTGTTATTTAAACGTTACATTTATTCTATGTCTAATTTCAACCTTGAATAACTATTAAAGGAGTGAATTTACGAAAAAATTATAAGAAACATTTTTTGTAGAACGTTCAATTTTCTTCAAAAATATATAGAGTTCATTCCAATATGTTCACTCAAAAACGAGTTATAAAATTTCAAAGTTAAGAAAAAAGAATTCCTGTGTTATTTAAACGTAAAATAGAAATTCACGATGAGCGACCTCTAAATATTAATATTAAAAGCTACAATTTTCACAGGCTTCTTTTTTTACTACTAGGAAGATATTTTAATGCGGGCTTTCAAGAAAAAAAAATATTCGATTTTTTTGAACCAGTCTAATATATATATATATATATATATATATATATATATATATATATTAGGGTGTGCCAAAAAACCTCGATATTTTTTTTTTCTTGCTCTCAACCCAAAATATCGTAGAATATGTCCGAACAAATATTCTGTTAAAAGCGGAGCTCATAATTTCAATTTTAAGAGGTCCTCCATCGAATCTGAAGTTTTGCCGCTTAAATAACACAGAAAACTGACTTTTTTACCTTATTTATTCTTGCAACCTAGGAAGAAATTTTTTTTTCATAAAATCCATGACTAATTCTTACAAAGCATTAAATTTGGACAAAAAAATCTTATTAAGCTGAATTTCTATTTTCAATATTTGATTTTTTACAGAGCTTTAAATTTAAAGTTAATAATACAAAAATGATGACTTTATACGCCTGTAACTTTAAGAATATTGACGATACAAAAAATTCGCCTAAAACTTTTTTGTGGTCCATCAGACAAGCTAAAAAATTGCCATTTGACTTTTTCGTCTAACTTAAATAGTTTAGCTGAAAAAGGCAAAAAACGTAAAATTTTAAATTTAAAGCTCTGTAAAAAATCAAATAATGAAAATAGAAATTCGGCTTAATAAGATTTTTTCTTCCAAATTTAATGCTTTGTAAGAATTAGTCATGGATTTTATGAAAAAAAAATTTCTTCCTAGGTTGCAAGAATAAATAAGGTAAAAAAGTCAGTTTTCTGTGTTATTTAAGCGGCAAAACTTCAGATTCGATGGAGGACCTCTTAAAATTGAAATTATGAGCTCCGCTTTTAACAGAATATTTGTTCGGACATATTCTACGATATTTTGGGTTGAGAGCAAGAAAAAATATATATCGTGGTTTTTTGGCACACCCTAATATATATTATATATATATATTATATATATATAATATATATTATTAGGGTGGTCGTTAAAAATTAAATTTTTTGCGACGCCCCCTAAAAAGCTTCGTTTTGTTTAAAAAACACTGGGAATTTTTTTTTATTAAAAACAACACGTGCCTCAAGACGATCTAAGTTAATTTTTTGGTATAAAAGTGTCTTCACTTTTAAGTTATATTGCTAAATCTGCTTTGTATAGTATAAATCATGCTATATTCATTTCTTTTAGCAACATCAAAAATAATTTGTTTTGTTGAAAAAAATTGTAAACTGACTGTAAGTAATAAATAATGTTATGGTTAAATTTTTTGTTATAAATAAATTTACAATATTTTCTCGTGGCTGGCCCAACTAATATGGGAAGGCTCGTATATTGACCGCATTAATGTTCTGCGCATCAATTATGGGTACTGTTTTCTTTCTTGATGTACTCTTATTCACACCAATGCATTTTAATATTTATTTTATTAAAATTGCATATTTTAAATTTAATATTATACACCAAAAATAGTCTGCGTCTTTTTATTTCTAAAAAAAGTCGCTACTTTTAAAAATGGAAATATTTACAAAATGGCGAATGCGCCGGGATTAAAAATAGTCTACCGTACTTATGAACCATGTTATCCAAGACCTGTACGTTTTACCTTGAATTAACTTAAATATTTTTTTAACCAGTGTTAGTATAATTAATATATATTGATCTATTCAATTATTTTTTAAAGGATACGTCAAATGTGTTAATTTAATTATAATAAATTCATTAAGTGCCTATATACATAAAGATTGCGATAATCTAAAATGTTTAGTTATAATTTTTTAGTACGATAATTGAAATGGCTTTTACAACATGCTTGTGGTGTATAGTATTCCTTGTTGGTTATGTCAGTTTAGTAATTTGTGATAACTTTAAGGATAATGGAAATAATACAAAGGAATATCTCAAAAATTCAACGTTAGCCATTAACGGCACTTCACAAGATTTGTAGGTTTAAAAATTTTTTTTTATTTCTTTACAGGGTATCCGGAATTAACCGACAAGCGAAGATAGCAAATCCTAGGGGTGATGATCTAAAAAACAAAGCCCTTGGGGATTCAAATCGTTGTTTAATTAGATTCTAGAGGAATCAAACATAGATTATGTGTTAACCTTTATGTGCAAAACTTTTGATAACAAATATTTTTTAAATATTATAATTTTCTTTTCCAGATATGTGATAAAAACCATTGTATATGAAGTTGGTATACTAACAGATGCCAGTAACGACACCGATATACCTTTAAATGAAACGTACGTACCTACTAAAATTATTTATTATTTTGAAAACTCTAATTTAACAGACTTAAAATTTATATTATTTTGTTACACTTGCTTTAGTACTACGCCTCAAGGGTTTAGAGACATTGACAAATTTCTTTTTTCAGATTAAAATTATTCTAATACCATTAGACTGATACATACAAAAAATCCATTTGACGCAAATTCTGAGTATGTTTTCTAGGGTATTTTTTCCTGCTGATTCCAAAAATTACATCCTTTTTATTCACTTGGGTCATATTTGGAATATATTGCAACACTATTTTTGCTTATTCGAAACTTTTTCTGCAAAAAATTGATCAGCGACATATGTTATCGGATCTTTATACACCTAATACATAGTAAACTAAATTTTTATTGGGGTTTTAAATCCAAAAATGTTGTAAATTACGCCCAAAATAATAAGAAACATGTTTGATGAAAACTACAAAAGTTGTTCCTAGTTGTACATAGTTGCTTATGGTCAGTTTAACATGTCAAAATTGTGAATTATTTAGGTAAAAATTGTTCTAGTTTCAGGCAAATTTGCCAGCTCAAAAAATATAGGAGTTTTAAATCTAAAACGCGTTTCAGATTTAAAACCCCTATAGGGGTTTTAAATGTATACATTTTTTTACTGCGTATCTATTAGGTATCTAAAGACTCGATAAAATATATCGCTGATCAAATTTTTCACGCAAAAATTTCAAATAAAATTGCACACGAGGAAAAATTGTTATTTTGCAATATCTTTAAAGAAGATGGTAACTAATAAAATTACTACATACTTCTAGATTTCTCATTATTGGAGTATAACCAAGGATATGTAAAGCCAAAATACTAAAGGCATGTACAGTTTAGTCTAGAGCCCTGCATGGGTCGAATTTTTCAGGCCCAGCCCTGCCCGGTCCGAACTTCAGTCACAATAGCTCGGCCCGATCCCGCTATTGTGAATAAATTGTTAGGCCAAATACCATTGTTAGCCTTAATATATATTTATATATATATAGCTATATAGCTAATTAGCTATATAGCTATATATAAAAAAGACACTTTGGAATATATATAGCTATATAGATAAAAAGGCATTTTGGAATTTTTTAAATCCAAGTGTTATATAAATATTTAGTGCTAATTTAGCACAGCTAAATAATTAACTATTTTAATTTTATGTAATAAACACTATTTTTTAGACCAAAATATATAAAATCAAATTTAAGTGATCTATTAGATGTTACCGGTGGCCAACCACATCTATTTTGTATATACATATGTTAGATTTAAAAAAATATGATTTAAAATTAATCCAAAAATAATGTACTTATCTTAATTTAATATCTAATAAACATCATATAAATGTGTATGATTCGTGTTCAGTAGGTAACTGACAATAAGCATTAAATTGCTTCTTCTTTTTAACGTAAAAAAATTCAAAATTGCGTTGTACTTTCAAACAGATACATTTTATTTAATGGGAAGTGGGGTCATCTGAAAAATCCAACTAAGTACTTATTTTTTTGCCTTATAAGAAATTAGTAACATAAGATTTGCGTGTTTTAGTATGTTAATGTTATTATTAAAGACTAATTTTGGCAAAAAAAAAATTGAACAATTTTGAAAATGGTGAAAGTGTAATTTTTTTTTGTTTCGCCGTTTCTCGCAAAAATAAGAAGTTACGTTTTAAAAGACCTTTCAAATGATACGTCACCCACTTCGTATTTTTTAAAATGTGACTTTTTGACAGTACGACGCCATCTCAATATAAAAATACAGAAGGTATTAAATAGTTTTTCAACGCCAATATTCGAAAGATTCATAAATGAACATTGTACTTTTTAATTTCGCCGGCAGTTAACAATAGATTTATAAACTATAGACAGAGCTGGGAAAGTTACTTCTGAAAAGTATCTAGGTAGTTACTTTTCTAAGATACTTTAAACAAAATAACTTAGTTACCTACCTCTGGTAACTAGATACTTTAAGTTAAAAGTATATTTAGTTACAAGATACTTTAAAAAGTATCTAAGATACTATCCGAAAGTATCTAAGATACTATATGAAAGTATCTAAGATAGTTTTGAGTAACTAAGATACTTTTAAGTCCCTAAGACACTTTTGAGTAACTAAGTTACCCGGACCGGACCGTTTTTGGACAGAAATCCGGACCAGAACCGGTATTTATTTGTGGACCGGAACCGTAACCGAACCCATATTATTTTTAAACGTAACTTTGGAAACCGAACCGAAACCCTTTAAATTTAAAACGGTTTTTAAGGTTATTATAGGTTTTTTCTTAATTTCTTTTTGCAAAAATTAAAAAAAAAATTGTTTCGTAATAAAAATCTAAAATTAGTTTTTGCAAAAAAATATTTGAGCATCTATAAATTATACACTGTAGCACAAGTATTGTTAGCGTTCCTGCTGTGTTAATACCAATTGTAAATGTTGTATAAATAATTATTGTAAATGTAAATTAAAATAACTTTATGTCATATGTATACATATTATATAATACTAGGCAACACTGTAATTAATAAACCCCCACTATAAAATATCCTACCGACTGCGCCATAAAGTAAATAATACCAGAGTAGTTTGAATACTGATTTATTAAAATGACTAGCATGTAGGTGTATGTAGGTATCTTGACTAGCATGGGTGGATTTATTAATTAGTGTTGCCTAGTATTATGTATACTTATGACACCTGTTTTCTGGTCACAAATTTTTCCCCCAACAAGATCAAACATAAAAGAAAAAAATTAGAGGAACAATTATTTGTGAGAACAGAATTTTTGGAGAGAAACTAATTTTAAATATAAATTTTTCAGTTTTTTATTCGCAAGATCATAAGAAAAAGATAAAGTTAGCAAGCAGATCGAGAATAAAAGTAAAAAAAAAGAGAATAAAGAGACTAAAATTGAAGAACCTGATTTGAAAAAAAGAATAGACAAAGTAGACATACATTTTGATTTACACCAAGGTGACCAATTTTAGATTTTTAAAAACCAGAACAATATTATAATATTTTGAGATGATAATTATAGCATGAATAATTATTATTATTAATGACAAACATTTATTATAATTAATGACATACATATATACAAAACATATATTATAATTAATGACATACATATATACCAGTAGGATTAAATAAAAAAATATTTAGTATCAAGTTTGCCTGTATGTAAAAAAATTATTGAATACATTTATTTTTTAATTATACTTCTTGGATCAATCATAATATGAATATATGCCCAGTTTAACTCTCAAAAACAGGACATTTACTGAACCAGTTTTCTACGAATTTGACCAGAAGGTGCTAAAAAAGAGTATTATCCTGGGAAAAACAGTATGGTTGGTCACCTTAATTTGCACATAAAAATTTGACATTTTTACCGGCCGGTAATACAGATTTCCAAGAATGGTCACTCTATTGTTTTATAGATGTCGCTCTATACAAATATTTAATTTAAAATATCTTTAGGTAATAATAAGTATTTGTCGTAGACCAAGTATAGTATGCAACTTCTTTATAATCTTTTCTAGACACTCATTTAATTAGGCACTCGCTCGCAAGCTCGTTCGTGCCTAAATTAAATTCGTGACTAAAATGTCGTTTATTAAACCTGATACATAATATACTATTATTCGATAGGTAATAATACGATAAGTGTTGAGTTTTTGTTCTTTTAGTCCTTTAGGCATTTTTATAACTTCTAAAATGTTATAAAACGCGTCAAACATTTTGTTATCAATAATATTTATGTAATATTTCATAATATTTAGTAGTTACGTGACAAATTTATTTAAAAATTTATAAATATGGTGTCCAAAATGGGATGGTCCCGGGCCGGGCTTTGTTGTTCTTAAACAGCATCCTTTCAATTTTGTTTTTTTTTTTTTGTTAATTTTTTATTATTAAGTTTAATTATTATAAATAAATAGTTATTAATTAACTAAAGTGTAATGTACATTTAAATTTTTTCTTAACATTTACATAAATAAAACAGCTAAAAAATCACAAAGCGTTTTTTAGCTTTATTACGGCTAAAAATTGTTATTTATTGGCCGGTCTATATAAAATAAAATCGGTCCGGGCCGGGCCTGAAAAAATTCGGCCCATGCAGGGCTCTATAGCATGGGATAGCATCTCGGAAACGGTTATAGGAATAGGGCATGAAGGGTTCAAAAGTTTCCTAATTACATGCCTTTTATTATGGCATCTGAAGATTGGACAAAAAATCAGAGATTCTCAAAATATTTGAAAAAAACTGAAAATCGGTTAAAACTTATTATCGCTATACGCTAAAGAAGTATCGCTAGTAGCGCCACCACTCGGCTGTTATTATCGTAACAAAAGTATAACTTTTAATAATCAGCTGTCAAACGCTTATGTTACAAACGAGTGTTTTTGAGAATAAATCCAGAAAATGTTAAAAAATATCGAAAAAAACCGTGGCTCGATTTATTGTGTTATTTCGAGAAATCCTGGGTTGAGTTTTTACCGGTTTTCCAATAAACATTGTTAATCTGAATGAAGACATACAGTCTCTGTAAATATAAATTGTACCTATTACATACAATAAATATACATTTTAGTAGTGATTAACGTGAAAAATTTCAATTTGGTAAAAATCGTGAAACAAATAAGTCGTCTAAATTTATTAAATTTAATTTAAACAGCATTTAGCATTATTAAAAGCGTTGATTAAGAAAGTCTCCACTCAACGGTAAAATACCATTAATTATGTATAATACACTATATTTTTCGGGTGACGTTCATAATATCGAAATTCACTTTATCAAATTCAAAATATCGAACACTTTTTATCGAAAATCAAAATATCGAAAATACAAAATGTCGAAAATCAAAATATCGAAAATTAAAATGTCGAAAATGATAATATCGAAATTTTATTTAATCGAATTTTCAATTTATCGAAAATAAAATATCGACGTTCATAATATCGAAATTCACTCTATCGAATT